TGCAGACAATATTTTATACCCTACCACATCTTTCAGAACTTGCTGAAGAAGAATGGATATCTCTCAATAAGTTTATAGCATTCACAGACATTCCTTTGAGTGCAACGTTTCCATGCATCTGTTCTCACACTGAGCTCCTTAATCTGAAGCCCAGTGACTGGTCTCAACAAGATCGAGGTAAACTATAAGTAGACTAATTTTAATCTTAAATAACTAGTGTTAGCTACCAACTATTAAGGACTTAATTTGAATGTACTGGGATATTTAGGACAACATTTGCTGCCTTCAAATAATTATTTTATATAAAATATTTCTCTTCTCCCTCAATAGCACTCAAATCAGCATACAATAGGAAAATTAAAATCAGATTAAATATTCTATCTCAGGTTTGAAATCAGCTGAGCCAGATAATCAAAGGGAATGGACAGATGTTCAAAAAAAGATCATCCCTTGGAAGAACAGTACTCTTGATCTTGATCTAGAGCTTGTATTTCAAGATCGGGCTGCTAAACTTGGTAAATCAAACAGTAGACTGATTGTAGTGGCTTCGCTCATTGATAAACCCACCAACCTGGGAGGTAAGATTTATTATTTTAAACCACTAGCATTTATTTTAAATTTTTATAATTAAAAACTAACAGATCTGTTTTTGTATTCACCCTAGAAATATTGTAAGAATTTCAGATGGAAATAATTTTTTTATGATCAAGCTGGAACAAAGAAGGGAGGCATTTTCCTTTTCCTTCTCCCCTGTTGTGTTAATTACTATACATTAGTTAGTACAGCCACTTGGAGTAATGAATTGTTTGTAGGATTGTGTTCTAAGATGTGTGTACTAAGATTTTAGATGTCCATAAAGTGGAAATTAGAGCTTTCTGCTTTGGGGCTTGTGTATAACCTAATAGCTTATGTGTGAGCCTATTTTGAATCTTTTCTTCTCTCCCATCTGCAGTATCCAAGTGCAGTATTCAATTGATGAAACAGATTTGTTAGTTGAAAATGTTTTGTTTAATTTATAGGCTTGTGTCGTACATGTGAAATATTTGGGGTGTCAGCTCTAATTGTGGGCAGCCTTCATTACATAAATGACAAACAGTTTCAATATCTCAGTGTATCTGCGGAACAGTGGCTTTCCCTTCTTGAGGTGGGTAAAAAACCTTATTTCTGTATCACATAAATTTAATTGCTGTGCAGAACTAAGAGGTGTGACTTTGTAATTTCATGTAACTATCAAGATCTTATGCATTTGTTTGCTATCTTTGTGGCACTTTGCTATGTACCAGAGTGGTGCTTCTGCCAAAGTTTTTGGGTTTTTTATTATCATTTTTATATAAAGTCTTTCTTTTTCACTGAAACACAAGATGTATTACAAGTATGATAAGTTCTTGTGGCCCATTCTATCACGCCCAGGGAAATGCTGATTGCCACTTTGGGGTCAGGAAGCAATTTTTCTCCAGGCCAGTTATCCTGAAGGGTTTTTTGCCATCTTCTAGGCATGGAGCAGGGGTCACTGGGCGTGTGTGTGGGGAGGTATTTGTGAATTTCCTGCATTGTGCAGGGGGGTTGGACTAGATGATTCTATATGGTAATATAGATTCTGTATGGTAATATAGTCAAATCCAGCAGCAAAGATTCCTAGTAAAACAAAATAATGCAGTTGGGCTGGTATTGTAGAATGGGGGAAACAAGAACACCACCATGTAAACACATCTGTTTAAGGCAATAAGACACTGCAGGAAAGACTTTATCCCTAGTCACCTCCTTAGCTGATCCATTAAACTGCAGCTTTGTTCCTTCTACAAAAATGCCCCCCTGAACGATTCTGTGGGGGCCTTCCTAATATCCTCAGGCAGACCATTCCATAATGGGGGAGCCACACAGCGAATGTACATGAATGAGCGGTTGCTGATTTTACCTGTTTGCAGGGTGGAACCTTCAAAAAGCTTTGTTCAGGCAGCTGAATACCATTGCATCTCAGTGATTTCACTATGTCCCAGTCCCCCCCCCCCCATTATATGAAAGTTAACAAATTATCATTTATTTTTCACATTTATATCCTGCCCATCCCGTAAACGGGCTCAGGGTGGGTCACAATATTTTAGTCAATGCAATAATATGACAATTTATCTTAGGGGGTATAACATAGGATAGCATTGGCTTTTATTTCATAGTCAAGTACTGTAAAGATAAAATACTTCTATGTAAATATCCATATATTCATGTGAGATCTATAATTTACATGTATAAATTAATCCCCAGTGTACCCTTGAAAACCCACTTTTTCCCACTGAACTGTGCTCAACATGTTAATGATGGCTTCTTGCTTAGGTGGCTCTGGTAATTGTGTCAGACAAAATAATGAATAGGTATTTGCTATTTTGATTTATATAACTGTCATGACCATCTACCACATTTTATCTTTCATCCTGCTTCTGAATATAATTTTTTGGGTGGCAAACTGTTAGAAGATGGCCATTTTCTTCATAGCTTGATTGTGGGTTTCCTAGAAGCATCTGGCTAGCTACTGCTGGAAACAGGATGTTGAACTAGATGGATCCTTGGTCTGATCAGCATGGTTGCTGTTACATTCCTATTGAACAGAATGTGATTTGTACAAATGGCATATATTGACCAGCCTCCTCAAGAATAATTTCAGTTCACAGAATATTAGCCTTTAGATTGATTTAATAAAAATCTGACATGATATGACTGACACAGCTATTCTTATAATATGTTAGAGGATTTTATAATACAAATCTTGCTGGGATTTTTTTTAAATGTGCAGGTAAAGCCATTTCAGCTTATTGATTATTTGGATCAGAAGAAAACTGAAGGTTACACCATTATAGGTGTGGAACAAACAGCTAAAAGTTGTAATCTAACAGAGTATTGCTTTCCAGAGAAATCCCTGCTGTTGCTAGGGTAAGCAAAACCAGATTCTCCCCCACCCCCAAGCCCCTCACCGTCTGACTTTTAAACTCTTCCTCTGGTTGATGTTGTCTCTTTTTGTGTAACAGCCCTCCAACCCATCTCCCTGCTATTTGAGGGTCCCATGCTTCATTGTCTGGCCTTAACTGGAGAAAGCGAGTTCCCCACTATTTGTTTTCTCCTTTCAACTTGAAAAAGTACCTGAAGGGTGTCAGTGTCCCCTCACAGCTTATCTGATACATTAGCATTGAATGCCGTTTTCAGGTGCTAAGGCAGGAACACAATTTCAGGGATCTATATTCCATATTAGTTGTGGAGATGGTAAACAGAATGTAACTGATACAGTAATTTGCTCCCTGGTTTGAACTCTGTGCTGTTCCAAACCCATAAATGGAAGATCAAATGAAGGCCTCCTCCTGCAGCACCAGGAATATTGTAAGATCATATTTTAAAATAAACACACCGACTTCAGCCTGAGTCTTCTTTCTGTTCACATGCCAGTTTACACAGTTTATTCTAATGTAAGATGCCAGTCTGGTAAGATATTGACCAAGCAGGGCTGTTTACAAACCTCTGAGATCTGACTCTTAACATTTATCTGTTTGTTACCACTTCCCATCAGTCATTTGCCACTACACAAAATGGCCTTCTTATTTCCCATATAGGCATTGGAATACATTAGTTTCTCCTGTATCAGTAGCACATAAATAAGCATAGACATTTTGAACCTATAAGCACATCACTGCAGTAAATTAAAATAGTTATAGTGTTAAGAAACCAGATCACCTAGTGCTGAAAGCATAAAAGATTTCTCTTCAAAAGGTCTCTGCCCAGTGGTGCAAGGTATTTAAGATTTTTAAGCATTCATTTTCCAAGTCGAACAGGGCTGGTATTCTTTGAGTTTTGTTAACCAGGACAAAGGAATAGGAATTTGCCCCACTGCAATACTCTTCTCAAAAGGAAAGTTCTGTATTCTCTAAATCTGAATGTTTGTGTTTTATCATCAGAAATGAGCACGAGGGAATTCCTGCAAATCTGATTCAGCAGCTGGATGTTTGTGTAGAAATTCCGCAGCAAGGAGTTATTCGGTCACTTAATGTCCATGTAAGTGGAGCTTTGCTGATTTGGGAATACACAAGGCAACAGATCATCAGGCAAAAAATACAGAGATAAATACACAAAGGACATTAGAAGTGCTGCTTTGATGGTGCTATAAAATCTAAGGAGCAATTATAGATGCCAGACCTTTTTTTTTTTTGCATGTGTGTCTTTTAAAATATATTAAATGCCTTAAACCGTCACTTTATTAAAACTGTTCACTGATAATAAATGCTTTTGGAATACATGAAAAGGTCTTGGTGCAGATGCCAGAGGGATATTATTGTAGACTTATTTTGATGTTGACTGGAGTGCACTCAAAGTTGCTTACATTCTAGCAGAAACGATGTTTTCTTTCCTCTTTGCCTCATCTCCCCCTTCCTGTTTCCAATACATTAACACCAGAGACAGAGCAGCAAGGGGAACTATGCTAATGGCTTCAGAATGGCAACTGCCAAGTGCTGTGGTCTCTTCTCAAACTGTGGGGTCAAGGGCTCAAAGCGTGTGACCAATCTTTCCACAGGTGGGTTGCAAGGCCAGCAGGGGGAACAAGGGGAGCTGAAAGAAGAGGGTCAATGGCAAATCTTTTGGCATGTGTGAAATGGCCATGAAATAGACTGTTGCTTTGTAGAAATATAGATTTATAAATATCCAGTATGAAAAGTGCAAACTTTTTCATTGTTAATTGATGTGAGAATCTTTTAGGTCATATTGGGGACGAGGAAAGTAGTGTGGAATTATTTTGCAAGGGTATTCTAAAAAAGTACTTTAGAGGTGGGTCCATTGTTCTTCAAGGTTTGAGAGTGCTTCTGTTCATATTTAATGGAGACAGAACCTTTCACAAGTTGAAAGGACAGATGGTCACTCTTCTTCCCACCCTATACTCCAAAGAATGGATGAAGGAGACTGACACACAATCCAGAAACAATCATATCTTTAAAAGGAGGCAACATACCAACATTCTAGCCATCACATGATTGGTTCTCGATTTAATTCAAAAGAGGCTGTTGGCACACCAGTGCTTTTCTTCTGCAAACACTTTCATGGCTGAAGTAACCAGAAAAGGGGCAGATTAACTATGACTTCTCAGTGTTCACTGAAGGCTGATATTCTCCTGCTTCTAGTTTAGCTTTGTATTTTAAATACTCTCTTCTTCTATTGAAGTATTTAACCTGTTTTGAACAAAAATCACTTTGTTAGGACACCAGATTGGTACAGTAAAATTACAGTGTTATAGAATTCAGAGCCACTGATGACTGTTACTGCAATTCAAATTTAAGTATAACCTATTTAATCATTTCTGTCTACTCTCCCAACAACAGAGCTCAAGACTATTTACATTGTTTTAATTGTTAAAGATACAAGCATAAAAACACATCTTTTGTTTGGCACTATGAACTTACCTCACTCACCACCAGCCAGATGTCTGTAGGGAAGGGAATCCACAATTGAGATACCACCACAGAAAAATCCCTGCCTGATACTGGCACCCACTGTAATTCAGATGAGTGGTGGCACATGAAGCATGGCTTCAGATGATGACCACACTAATTGGGGAGGTTCATCCAGCAGCAGCGAGTACTTTAAAGTCCCTAGTCCCAGACTATGTAGAGTTTTAAAGATGCTAACTACCACTCTGGCTACCAATTTGCTTCTAGACTCACTCCAATGAAAATGGTCTGGCACAAGGTGAGGCATGTGCTCTAATTTGTGCTACACCAAGTAATCCTACTGGATTTGAACTAGCTGGACTGTCTTCAAAGGCAGACCCGCCCCCAACATTTCTGGATACTGCACTACTGGTGTGCTATAGCAATCATTTGCAACTGACTGTCTAGTCCACAGAAGAAAACCTAACTGCAAGTGTCTGCTGTAGTGCAATGACAGCACAATATCCAGCTATATGGGGGATACATCCTTGAACGTAACTAGAGAATAAAAGTGTGACGTGCTACAGAGAAGATACAAGTGTCCAGTTGCTGAGACAGATCTAACAGCACCCCCAGACGGCAAACTTGTTCTTTCAAGGGGAGTGCAACCCCATACATAAAAGGCTACCTCCCCAATCCCTGATACGGTATAGAACTGACCAACTATACCTGCCTTGAGTGGCTTGAGTTTATTAGCTCTCATACAGCCTGTTACTGTCCCAGGAACCTGTGTAGAATATCCATCATCTCCCTGATGCTTTTGAAAAGGAAAAACAGTAAATGTATATAATACTGATTACACCAACTAAATATCGATTTACACGTTATAAGTAACTTTCATGTTAACCTTTTTAAAAAAAGAACTATCACTTTAGTATCCGGTAAGTAGAATGGCACAATCTAGATTCATCTCACTGGTCAGACAAATAGGTTCGGTAAAGAACAGGATAAAATTGCATTCTGAGATACCATAACAGAGTGGGGTAATTACCATGCTGTGTAACTTTGGTTATTGCCTTTGGCAGACCAGGGTAACAAGTACAATCAGTGCTCTTGTATCCTCTCCAGTCTCTATGAATTTATATCGCCAGTGTCACTTACCCACTGCTGTGGACATAAACTTTCAAAAGAGCACTTAGACTTGTCACACTTGGATATATCTTCCATATTTTCATCTAAGCACTTCCAGAGCTTATCCCGCGCTTCCCAGCATGCTTGCCTTTCCTTCATTGAGGGTGCTGACATTAGTTAATACTGAAAGATAAAAACAAATTATCATTTTTGAGCCATTCAAGGAGTTCCATAACTACATGGTGATTCAATAGCTATCATCCCTCCTGAACATGCTATCTGGAAATGGTAAAGGTTTCCCTTGCTCGAAGGCCAGTCGAATCCGACTCTAGGGGGTGGTGCTCATCTCCGTTTCCAAGCCGAAGAGCCAGCGCTGTCCGAAGATGTTTCTGTGGTCATGTGGCCGGCGTGACTAAACGCCGAGGTGCACAGAACACTGTTACCTTCCCACCGAAGCGGAACCTATTTATCTACTTGCAATTTCTTGCTTTCGAACTGCTAGGTTGGCAGGAGCTGGGGTCAGAGATGGGAGCTCATTCCATCATGTGACACTAAGGTCTCGAACTGCTGAGCTATAAACCTTCCGATCTGCAGCTCAGTGTCTTAACCTCTGAGCCACCACGGCCCCTTATTTGGAAATAAGTCCACCTAAATTCAATGAGACCTCCTTCTTGGTAAATGTACTTAGGAGGTTACCCATCTAACTCAATCCTATGCATGTTTACTGGGAAGTGAGTCTCACAGAGGTCAGTGGAATTCATTCTCAGCTCCCATGTCAGTGGAATTCATTCTCAGGTTGCAATCTTAAAGCACACTTACTACAAGATCTCAAGAATAAGATGATGAAATTTAAAATTGTGATATCATTTAAACCAACCTATCCACACAGCCTAAATGATTTACAGCCAGATTTTAAGAAGGTTTAATTAGAGTTGTGTCAATGAGGTTAGCAAGATTTAATTTTAGATAAGCAGAGTTAGGATGACACCCAAATCCCACCTATGCATGTTTACTGAAAAATCAGTCCCACTGAATTTATAGTCCAGCCTTTTCCAGAAGTCTACTTATCCCAACTGTCAACTAGCTTATGGAGCTGCGGTGGCTCAAGTGGTTAAGACGCTGAACTGCAGGCTGTGGAAGGTCAGTAGTTCAGCGGTTCAAGACCCGGGTGCCGCAAGACGGGGTGAGCTCCTGTCTCTAGTTCCAGCTCCTGCCAACCTAGCAGTTCGAAAGCAAGAAATTGCAAGTAGATAAATAGGCCAGCCACATGACCACGGAAACGTCTTCGGACAACGCTGGCTCTTCGGCTTTGAAACGGAGATGAGCACCGCAACCCTAGAGTCGGATTCGACTAGCTTTCGAGCAAGGGAACCTTTACCTTTTTACTTATCCCAACTGTCAACTGGCTTCTCCTCCATCAGAAGCCATAACACAGAGAGGCAAAGAACAAGGCTTCTTTCATCAGCCTGACTCACCAGTTACTACGTGTGCTTCCATCAATATCTAACTACTTTTCAGAAAGTGTAAGATACTGCAAGGCCCTTTCAGTTGGGTCTGCTTTCACTAATGTAACACAGAGAGGCAAAATAAGGCTTCTTTCATCAGCCTGACTCACCAATTACCACGTGTGCTTCTATCAATTTCAGAAAGGGTAAGCTACTGCAAAGCCCTTTCAGTTGGGTCTGCTTTCACTAATCTTTGTTAGCCATCCTGGTTCTTTTGAAAAAAGAGAATGGGATATAAATGCAGCATCTTTACTCCCAATGAATTGTGTGGAGTATTGCCACTCTGCCCCCCCTGCATTTGTTAAATTCTTCATGTTACTTTTCAAGAGTATTTCTTGCTGATTTCTATTAAAAATGAAAATTTCCCACTCAGTGAACATCACAGGACAGCTTTGAGTCAACCAGTTTAGGATAACACTGTCACATTGAAGAGACCAGTTCTTGATTTGGATCCCATAATGGGGGTGTCTCATTTGTATAATTAAAATTCTATTGCTGTTTTATGACTACATTACAGGTCTGGGTTGAGATGTGGCAGCATAAATAGTCACCATACAGTAACTACAACTAGCCAATTCTGAAGCAGTCAAACTTGAATTGAAACCTTAGCTCAGCTTGGTATATCAAAACAATCCATTATGGTTACACCGAATGTTTAAGGAACAGAGAGCAGCACTTCATAAGCCTCCCAATCACTTCACTTCCACATCATTTAACAGGGATCTAGTCTTTCAAGTATTGCAAAGTAGAATGCCCTTTCTGAAGGCTACCAATGCTACAATGACTTGATATGTATTAAAAAGCACTGTACGAAAAGTTAGAAATACCAGTTTAGCACCAATTGTACACTATGCTATATTAGTTACAAGATCAAGCACGTTAAAATGCATGACAGTAATAGGGAGGATTGCCAAACGATGACAGAAAGACAGCCGAAATAACTTAGTGTTGTACAAGGAATTTGCCACATTATTCATTTAAAGCATGATTAGTTTGCAAACCTTAAAAAAATATCTGACCACCCTCGAGCGGTTGAATTCAAAGTACGCGAGCCAAGGGGGAATGCCTCAGGACGTATTCTAAGATAATGCTTCGAATCGAACTGAGGAGGGGGCAGGACTGAGTTGCGATGAGTCTGTACTTGGGATATACTCAAAAGAGCCAAGACATGTAGAACAAGAAGCCTAAATACCAGCGGAATGAAGCCTGCTACGTCACGGTCTCTCTCCCTTACCGAGGCTGGAGACCTGAAGTGCGCGCAACGCGTTAGAAAATCGCGACGGCGCCAGTCGGACCGGAGAAGAAAGGAATTCCCCCTCCCCTCCTGCGTGCCGGCTGCAGGTTCCTTGAGTGCGTATGTCACGGGGCACCAACGAGCGGGTCGGAAGACGGCCAGCACCACGAGCGCATTACCCCCTCCTCTTCCGTCTCTGCTCAAACCCCGCCGCCGGATCCAGATTCAAGGTGAAGGAACCCGGAAGTTTGATTATGCCCTTAGATCGACGGCTGAGGTAGACAGTGCGCCTGCGTGGCTCTCCCGGGCTGCTTTGCATTGTTGCTAAGCAACTGTCTGCCGAGCCTCTTAACCGCTGTTGCGTGGCGAGAAAGTGGACGCTGAGCCGCGTCCAGAGCGGTAACCGCGGAGGAAGAAGGCCGCCTTCCCTTCCTCTCCCCACGACAGAAGCAAGTGGGGGTAGCCGTGTTGGTCTGAGGCAGCAGAACAGAGTTCGAGTCCAGTGGCACCTTTAAGACCAACAAAAGTTTTTATTCAAGGTATAAGCCTTCGTGCGCACCCACACGTCTTCAGATACAATGAGATAGAAGTGACCAGTCCATACATATAGGTACAGGCTGGGCAGCAAATTGGCATACAGCAGAATGGAGATAGTTAACAGATGCAAGGACCAATAAGGCATAACAAGCTTAGGTTACCATTTGTTTGGATTTAATTCTGAGGGAAAACGTAGTGAAGGAAATGAATATGTCAAAATTGGAGACTGATGAGCAGATGTATCCTTACCTGTGGAGTGCGGAGCGTAGTTACCTGAGGCCCTGCCCTTACACTCCATCCATCTCCTCTCAAGCATGGAGGCATACTTCTCAGGATGTGACCTAACTCATTTGGGAAACACTGCCATGCTGTTACTGTTGGTAGCTGTATCAGAACTGCATAACCCCCTCATTTCTGCCAATATTGGCATTTCAGGCAATTCACAGTGAAGAGAATTTTATCTATGTAAATGTAGCCAAACTGCTCTTTTTTTCAGCATTGATTTTGGGGCAAAGTTGGAAAATGTCCTCCTCACCCCAGACTTCAGCTAGTTCTACTAATTGTAGACTGTCTCTTTCCATTTGTCCCCATGTGCAACTATGGTCTTCAGATTGCCGTCTGTTGGCTATCCCACCACTTAGGGTGGCCTCTGTCTGGCAATGACCAGAGCTCAGGGCCTTTTCCATCATGGCTCCTGCTCTGTGGAATGGCCTCCCTTGGGCATCTTCAGGAGGTGCTGCAAGACTTGCTTGTTTGCCAGGGATTTAAATGCTATCCAGCTTTTTATTTATTTATTTACATTAGACTTGATATCCCGCTCTTGTCCCATGGCTAGGGTCTCAGAGCGGCTTACAGGGTTTCTGGTGCTAATCACCTGTGTTCCTAGCTAGGGCCACAATGTATGAAGGGGGGGTGGGACAACCTACCGGCACCCCCTCTGTGGTGGCTATTGCTGTTTCTCCGTTGGCTCGGCATGGTCGGGTCTCCTGGTCCAGCGGGTTGTTCTTTCTCTGGCGTTCTCTGGCGTCTCCGGCATTCAGTGGTGGCGATCTCCTCCTTAAGCGCGCAGCTCCGCCTACTTTCCGGCCCAGCCACGTCCTTTCTGGCTCCGCTGAGCCGGAACTCGGCATCTGCGCACGCCCCTTTCTTCTCTCTTCATGGCAGCCCTCGGTGTACTCCTTCTCCGCCGCCAGCGATCGCTCAAACGCGCACCTTGCCTTGCTCGCCGCCGCCTTGCTCGCCGCACCACCAATGCCGTCCACGCCAGGATCGTCGCCGCCGCCATCGTTGCCGCCACTGCCGCCGTCTCCGCTATCTCCGCCATCTTCAGCCAACCACACAGGGTGCCCCCCACCCCTCTAAGGGTGGGTACCCATTTACCTACTTGCAATTAGGTTGCTTTCGAGACCGCTGGGTAGGCGGGAGCTGGGACGAAGGTCGAGAGCTCACCTCGACCGCGGTGGTACTCGAACAGCCATAGTGGCTGCTCAGGTGATGCTACAGTGCAGGCGTTTAACTGCCTGCGCCACCGCTCCCTTTTAAGGTTTTAACTGGACAAGTTTAAAAACTATTATTGTAAGCTGCCTTGGATCACAAGGGAAGGCTGGGTAAAAAGTGTTAAATGAATAAATACATTTTGTTTTGGGGGTTTTTCCTTACAGATTAAGATTTATTTTAGTTTTTTATTTATTTTATTTTTAGATTTATATCCCACCCTTCCAAACGGCTCAGGGCGGCTAACAAACGGCTAGTGCCAAATTAAATAGATAAAATACAATAAAACAACATTGAACAACCACAATAAAACCCATACAATATTTAAGGTGCTCTGATGTCATCCTATATATAAATCACCCCAAGATGGGCATAATAATCCCAATTCGACAGCCAGCTGTCTCAATAGTGAGGTCTCCAGTGACAATGTTCTACGCGCTTCTGCCAGGCGATGCATACCTCCCATAATAGGGGTAGACGATGGAGCAATACCACGGTGGTGGAATAGTGGTGGCGGCGGCTCCTGCTCAAAAGCCTGGCGGAAGAGCTCCGTCTTACAGGCCCTACAGAACTGTAAAAGGTCCCGCAGGGCCCTGATCTCCTCCGGGAGTTCAAAGCGAATCCGGTATGCTATCAGCAGCCAGTGCAGCGCTTGCAGCACAGGCTGGATGTGGTCTCGCCTAGAGAGGCCCATCAACAGCCTGCCTGCAGCATTCTGCACTAGCTGCAGCTTCCGGATTTGGGACAGAGGCAGCCCCAAGTAGAGAATGTTACAGTAGTCTAGCCTCGAGGTGACCGTCGCATGGATCACAGTGGCCAGGTCCTCACGGTCAAGGTAGGGGACCAACTGCCGAGCCAGCCGCAGATGGTAAAAGGCCACCTTGGCAGTGGCTGCCACCTGGGCCTCCATTGTTAACGAGGAGTCCAGGAGCACACCCAAACTCCTAACCTCCCGTGCAGGCTCCAAAGGCACCCCGTCGAAGGCCAGGAGAGGGAGCCCCAACCCCAGACCGGTCCGACTCAGGCCCAGGACCTCCGTCTTTGCTGGGTTTAATTTCAACTGACTCAGTCTGAGCCAACCAGCCACAGCTTGTAACACCCGATAAAGGTCATCGGGACCGAAATCCGACTGGTCGCCTAGCATCAGATAGAGCTGAGTATCATCAGCATATTGATGACACCCAAGCCCACACCTCCGGACAATTTGGGCGAGGGCGCGCATATAGATGTTGAACAACATAGGGGACAACACAGCTCCCTGGGGGACCCCACACTCAAGGGGGTGCCTTCGGGACTGCTGGTCCCCAATCGCCACCCTCTGTCCCCGACCTTGAAGAAAAGAGACGAACCATTGAAGAGCAAGCCCCTGAATCTCCACATCAGCGAGGTGGCGGGCCAGCAACTGGTGGTCGACTGTGTCAAATGCAGCCGACAGATCTGACAACACCAGTGCTGCCACGCCACCTCAATCCAGATGCCTACGCAGTTCGTCCGTCAGAGTGACCAGCACCGTCTCTGTCCCGTGGCCCGGGCGGAAGCCGGACTGGAAGGGATCGAGGACAGAAGCCTCATCCAGATAGCCCTGTAGCTGTGACGCCACCGCCCTCTCGATAAGTTTGCCCAAATAGGGCAAATGGGAAACCGGCCGATAGTTGGTCAATTCGGTCTGGTCCAAAGATGGTTTTTTCAAGAGAGGGCGGACCATTGCTTCCTTGAGTGCTCCAGGGAACCATCCCTCAACGAGGGACTTATTGACAATCTCCTGCAGTGCACCTCGAAACCCCTCGTGGCCTGCTTTAATAAGCCAGGAGGGGCACGGATCCAGGTCACATGTGGTTAGGCGCACCGATACAAGCAACCTGTCAGCTTCCTCCAGGCTGAGTGGGTCAAAACACACTAAACCTGGCACCAAAGACATACAAGGGGCCTCAAGTTCCCTAACTGTTTCAATTGTGGCGGGGAGATCGCGGCGGAGAGCCAAGACTTTATCTGCGAAATAGCTCGCAAATGCCTCACAGCCTAAATCCAATTCCCTAGCATTTTGCCTGCCCTGAGGCAGAGCTGTCAAAGACCGAATTACACTAAATAATTGGGCCGGGCGTGAGCTAGCAGATGCAATCGAGGTCGCATAGAACTCTTTCTTTGCGGCCTTGACTGCCATCTCATAGGATCTCATAAACGTCCTATAGGATGTTCTTGACACTGTGTCGCAAGCATGGCGCCACTGTCTCTCTAGCCATCTCAGTTCTCGCTTCAGCCGCCGCAACTCCTGGGTATACTAGGGTGCTCGCCTATCATGAGTGCGGAGAGGGCGCCTGGGAGCGATCTCGTCGATGACTGAGGAGTGTCAGCAATTCCAATCCTCCACCAGCGTATCTAACGAACCACCAGGGGGCCTTGGATCCCGCAGAGCCATCTGGAACCGCATCGGGTCCATTTGACTTTGTGGGCGAACCAAAATCAGGTTGCCACCTAAACAGGGTTGGCATGGAGCATTCAGACGGGCCCTCAGGGCATGGTGGTCCGACCATGGCACTGCCAGGGTAGTGATCTGGTCCACCATGACTCCTGCTGCAAAGATCAAATTGAGCATGTGACCGGCCCGATGCGTGAGTGCCGAGATGAACTCAGAGAGTCCCAGTGCTGCCATGGACAACACTAGATCCACAGCCTGGTTGGAGGTCGTATCCTCAGCATGGACGTTGAAGTCACCCAAGACAATTAGCCTAGGGTGCTCCAGTGCCCAGCCTGATATGGCCTCCAGCAGGGATGCCAGACTATTGGCCGGCACGTTAGGTGGTCGGTACACCAACCAAATAGCCAAACTCTCCTCAGCCTCCAGCATCGCACCGACACACTATGCCCGTGATCTCTACCTGCGAGAGCGCCCTGAAGGAGTAAGTCTCCCGAATGAATAGAGCCACACCTCCCCCCCACCCCCTTGTCCGTGTTTGATGGAGGACCGAGAACCCTGGCGGGGCAAGTTGGGCGAGAGCTAATGTCTCGCCCTCCCACACCCAGGTCCCGGTCACGCATGCCAGGTCAGCTTGTTGTTCCTGTACAAAGTCCCGCAGGACTTCGACTTTATTGTTAATAGACTTTATTGTTATCGATTTTATTGTTAACACGATAGTTAATATTTTGATATTCCTTTCCATTTAAACAATTATATCAATTA